CGCGGAGCACAGGCTCCGGACGCGCAGGCCCAGCGGCCATGGCCCACGGGCCCAGCCACTCCGCGGCACGTGGGATCCCCCCGGACCGGGGCACGAACCCGCGCTCCCCGCATCGGCAGGCAGACTCCCAACCACTGCGCCACCAGGGAAGCCCCACATCTGCTTTTTAAGTCTTCACAATTTAAGTAAGTTAGGGAAGGCATACAAAATGGTTAATGAATATGCTACGTCTAATACTTGAACAATCTTCAATCACGTGCCTTCCAAATCACAGCTCTAATTAGATTCATAATTACACTTTGTTGAACTCTGCACCCACACCTCTGAATTCTGTTTATTTCTTAGTCAAAGAAAATTCTGCTAGAAATCTAGGACCAGGATTAGATAGAATTACAATTATCCATTCCCAGGAGAAATGGAGGAGGTGTTTGCCCTTAAAGACCTCTAATTCTCAGATTCTCTGCCCAATACAAATCACTTAATAGTCTACACTGACATTTCAAAGCTTGCGAAAGGGAGTGTTGTATAGCCCTGGACTTCATTCTGGTTCTTTCCTACAAGCAGAGAACAAGATAAAAAAAAGGGCCCCTCGAGCTTAAAGAGGTACCTAATTAGAGACATACATACCTAACGTCTACTCCCAATTAATGACACAAATGATTCTGGGAAGTGAATTAGGACTATTGCTTTGATTAAAAGGACGACACTACAAAGTGTTTGTCTTTTATCCTTATCTCTAATTTAAATAATTTATAATAGATAATGGCTAATTTTAACTTTTGAGAATAAACATTTAGTCTGCATAAAAGATACTTTTTATAAAGTAACCACCTTATATAGTTTCTCTTTTAAAAAACACTTTTGATATACTTCTGATGACCCTAAACATTTGTGCTACAGATGCCACAGCTGCATTTTCAGAGACCGACTCAGGAACCACTGAAATATTAGATATCCTTTTGCTGGCAACACATAAGAGTGCTTATTCAGTCAATTCAAAGTTGTGCTAAACTACTGGTTCTCAGATTTCACCTTGCCTCAGAATCACGTGGAAGGCTCCTTAAAATTCAGAATACCCAGACCACTCCCAGAGTTTCTGATTCAGCAGGTCTGGCCCGGGCCTGAGAACCTGCATTTCTAACATGTTTCCAGGTGCTGCTGGTGTAGGGATCACACTGTGAGAACTACTGCTTCAACCCACTAATTTCGATGTTATTTCAAGAGAAATGAAAGCTTAGAATCCAGAGCCCATGTAGTACTCACTAAACTCTCTCCCAGGCTCTGCCCCAGGGATCATCCGTGAGAAAATCCTTTATTGCAGCAGTAGCACCCAGGCAGCTAAAGAGTCCTTAACACTACTTGCTTAGCATTTTGGTTTTGCTGGGCAAGGATGTGGCATGTTTCCTATTTCTCACCAGAAGGGCTGCGATCTCCTATGTGCCCCCAGATGCCCTGGATCTGTAACCCTCCAGGGCAGGACCTGTGCCTCTGGGGGATCAAAAACCACAGCTACATGTCCCTACCCAGAAGGTCTATCTCATCCAGGAGGAAGTCCATGTCCTCCCGTCTGACTTGAGGGCTGATCAGCACCTGCCGGAAGAAGTTGACCTTCCCCCGGTGGGGCTGGTAGCCCAGCATGAGGCTCCCCTTCTTCATCATCCGCTCCTTAATGGCCGGGGCCACCTGCATGGGAGAGGAGGGAGGCGGTGAAAGACCAGAACACTGAGGCATCATGATTGCATTGTACCCAGTCACTGGCTACTCACAGGGCAGCCACTGGTGTGGATGCCATTCTCACACACACAAAGTTGACATTAATAATAATCACCTGCTGAGAACTTATGGCATATGAGTACTGATTCAAGCGCCTTAGACAGATGAATTCACTTAATCTTCACAATAACTCCACAAGGGAGATATTATTAATATACCCTTTCCAGATGAGGAAATTGAGGTGCACAGAGATTAGATAAATAGCCTGAGGTCCTGCATTTGGCAAGTGGGAGAGCTGAGATTTAAAAGCAGGCAGTCTCACCCAAGCCCATGCTCAGAAACTTAAATCACGATGCAGTGATGCCACATTAAAATCAAACCAGGTGTTTGTTCTCAGGGGTCACAGTCTCAAAAGTGTCAAATGTTACGTTCCCAAATTTGTTGGAACTAAAAAATACTCCAGTTCAGGCAACTCGAATAAAGAAGATTAGTCAGAAATGGATAAAAAGCACACAAAATAACAGCCATGCTGTGACAGTCTACCAAAGAAAACACTAAAACAGGTACTATGTGCAGTTATATTTTGCAGACTATCAGTTCATTAGTTTATTAATAGAACATATTGGTTTGTTAACAGGAAATATAACCACTGTGTCACTTATTAAGAGGCGTACAGTTGGTAATAAAATTAGTAAGTCCATATTTTAAGGATTTCTGGTGAACACGGGAAGAATGGGCCCTGAGAGTCCAAGTGCAGACATTTTTCTAATTTTCCACTTCCATTTTCATTTTAACTCTTTCACAGTTGCTGAGCATGTCCTCAGTGAATATGGGCAAAGAGAACAGAACGAGTGTCTGTCCTCTCCTGTCAGGAAGAGGAGACTTAGCTAGTCCAGAAAGGAGAAACGCATACTTAAATAAAACCAGGCACAACGTGGTATAAGATGCCTTAGATGAGGGGCATAAATCTTGGTTCCCAGGAGCCCTTCTCAGAGTGTGACCACCGCACACCACTCTGGTTTGAAACACATCTATGATTTGTCAGATACTCTTCTCTAAACACAAGCCAAAGTACTTCACCCAGCTCTCAACAAAATGATCTATTCCAAGCTTACGGGAGGATCAGTGCCTCAGACCTCTGGAGGTATATGTTGGACTCAACCAGAACCTTCTTAAGCGATGTCCAAGGGTCATTTTAGCTAAATACTTTTTTCATCATGTGCTCATTTTAGAACTTAAATCCTGTAAAACATGAACTATTACTGTGCTTACAACAGCAAAAACGAAGACTTACTCAGCACAGTCACACTGTCATTCTAGTGAAGGACTGGACGTCTCTCACAGTAAAAGGAACATAAGGCTTCCCTGGTGGCGCAGTGGTTGGGAGTCCGCCTGCCGATGCAGGGGACACGGGTTCCTGCCCCGGTCCGGGAAGATCCCACATGCCGCGGAGCGGCTGGACCCGTGAGCCATGGCCGCTGAGCCTGCGCGTCCGGAGCCTGTGCTCCGCAACGGGAGAGGCTGCAGGGGGGGGAGGGCCCCGGACCCCGGAAAAAAAAAAAAAAAGGAAAAAAAAAAAAAAAGGAAAAAAAAAAAAAAAGGAAAAAAAAAAAAAAAGGAAAAAAAAAAAAAAAGGAAAAAAAAAAAAAAAGGAAAAAAAAAAAAAAAGGAAAAAAAAAAAAAAAGGAAAAAAAAAAAAAAAGGAAAAAAAAAAAAAAAAAAAAAAGGAACATAAAAAGAAAATATAAAAGCTTTAATGAAAAATAAATGTAGAAAAAGAAGATGAAGTCAGAGGTCAAGTTACTGAAAAAATAAGAGACCATCAGGTTCTATAAATGTCTGGGAATGTGTCACAAATTTTATTCTGAGCTTTTTAGATTAGGAAAACAGGGTTAAATCAACACCACCTCCATTCTCTTTGCAAAACTTAGTGACAAAGTCCAGTGGACACTAAAGCTGGAAGCTGGTAGGTAACTCTGTGTATGCTTATGCATGTCCATTTGAAACCCTTCAATTTGTATGCTCTTAGCATCAGTTTTCTTCCAAAGCTGTCTATGCAAGTACCATTTCTTCTTAGAATTATAAAATCTAGTGAAATAATACTAAGCAAAGGAAAAGTTAAAAGGAGAGTGTTTTCCACAAAAACTAAATTGAATCCTTTGGAAAGACCAGATAAAGGAGGCGAGGGGCTGCCAGAATTTACTGCCATCAAGCTAGGTGTGATGGGAGAGCTGTAAAAGCTGTAAAACAGTCTTGAGAGTCCAGACCAAATCTGCCCACAGGTGGCTGCCTAGGTGCTGAGCACGTTTTCCATTGAAAGAAACCTGAGCTGGAAAGGACAGATGATTCCTGAAGAGTATAGTTTATGTAAGAACCATAGACACCCTCAGAACATCAGAACTCTGCTCAAGAAAAGACTCATTTGCTCTTGGAGATCCTTACTTGATGGGAAAAAAAAAAACCTTTCCATCAAAAGATGGGAAAATTAAAATGCACATAGATGTGTTTTAAGTTAAAATATTTAAGTTACATATGCATCACATATTTTTCTAGGATTATTTGCTTTAACTTGATCAATCCTCATCCCCTTAGGTAGGTGGGCTTCTAGTGCATATGTGGGTATGAATGCGTGTGTATGTGCATGTGTGTATGTATGCACGTGTGGATGTGTATGTATGTGCATGTGTGTGTACATGTGTTTGTGTGGTGTGTACGTATGTGCATGTGTGGGTGTATGTGTGCATGTGTGTGCACAATCACATGTAATTTAAACTTCTAACCCCCCATTTGTCATTTACTGCTTTTAAAATCCTCCTAGTCACAGGGCAATGCAGAACTGTGGGCTGACTTAGGCTCATGACAAAGGTACATTTATTTTTAATTCCAAGAGCGAGTGGGCTCTTGCATGTAACCTGTAGGTGTGAGAGTAGGTATGAGAAGGCATGGCCCACAGTGCCCATGCTAATCAATGCCAGGAAGATCTGGTCCATGTGGGGCAAATGTCTACCCAGGAGAGTCACAGACTATCAATTTTAGAGCTTACAGCTTGTGGTTCTGTAGACTTTTTTTAAAATAAAAATTCCCTTCATATTTATCTCCATTTTCCTCTAGGTAGTACCCAGGGTTTAATCCACTCTGGCTTATAGCAAATTTTAAATTTAAAACAGGCATGTTCTTGGCTCAAACCTAATTTGCATTATCTATTCCTATTTATTTTTCCTCTATTTTTCTTTCCCAAATGATAATTTATGCCTTACCTTTGGAGAGCAGTAGAATTTTGATTCCAGCTCCTAATGTGGCTCACAGGAGGCGCTTATCAAAATGAATGTCAGGTTTGCATTTCTTGTTAGCAAACCAAAAACATGTCCTAATGTGAGCAAGAAAGATAAAACTAAGAGGCACTCAGATGTGTTAATATAAAGATATTTTTGATCGTTAAATTCTTGGTCTTTGTAAGGCATAAAAATTTGCTTCCATGGGCAGAACACCTGGCATCTGAACCAAACTTCTAAGCTAAATTTTGTCACTGACTTTCAAAAATTATAAAGAAATGACTAAATATCTGTGCGATTCAGAGAACCAGCTAAGTAAGGGTTTGGCAGTACAACACACATCTTATTTTCATACCCATGAATATAAGCTTAATTCCTAGAGGTAATTAATTACTCCTGGCCAAGAGGGGAAAACCTCCTTTGTTTAAATACTTCATGGGGAAAGCAAGCTGTAAGCAACACCAACATCATTCATTAAATCTGCCACAAATTATAATTGTAGTAGTAGCGGTTGTTGTTATTGTTAATATTTTACCAACTCTTTAACATTTGCAACGTGCTTTTCGTGTCTCTGATTCTCATAATGTTCTCGTGGTTAGCCAGCTTGTCACCTTTGCACATTTAAAAAAAAAAAAAAAAAAAAAAAAAAAAAAAAAAAAAAAAAAAAAAAATCAACCACTTCCTATTTATAAAGCTTCAGGCATAATCCAATTCTTGGCAACTAGGATATTCTCTTTTGCTGATCACAGCAGAGAAACAGTCCTAATCCGACAAGATGGAATACTCACAAGGGAAAGAAAATATGCGCAAACTAAATGTAAATATCTGAATATCGCCCCTAAAGGGAGCACACAAGGAGGAAAGCAATTTAGCAGGAGTGAGATTGCTTTCCAGCTCTCAATTATTTTACTCCTGGTTTTTCCCCCAAATTGTAAATCAAATTCTTTTCTCCTGCCTCAGTGCTCTGGTCCCTGCATCTCTAGTGGAGGAAGATTCTGACATTTCTGTTTGGTTGCACAGGAACTTAATCGACACATTTCTGTAGGGTGGCTGTTTCCCCCCTTAAATTATGTTTCAGCAATGATTTAGTCATTTAAACAGAATGTTGTTGCCACACCCCTGCTGCATAAACAGCATTTGGTATTTAAAAGTTGCTTAAACCCAAGGAAAAGAAAAAAACAACTCTCTCATTCTGGCCAAGTACAGTAATTTGGTAACAGATAACTGACCAGATGTCACCAGAGCCTTTTATTAAAATAAAATCGTCATGTCTGTACAATGACATTTCTTCTTAAAAATGTGTAACTTATTTAATGTTAAACAACACATTTTTTTTCAATATATAAAGTGTTTCTCAAACTCTCTGTAAGGAAGTTTATTTTTTCCAGTCCATTACATACTTTTGTGAAATACAATAAAAGTGAATAACTAAATGAAAATTAATTACTAAATTAAAATGAAATAAAAAAGACATAAAAACAAGGTCCTACTGTATGGCACAGGAACTATATTCAATATCCTGTGATAAACCATAATGGAAAAGAATATGTGTGTGTGTGTGTATAACTGAGTCACTTTGCTGTATAGCAGAAATTTAAAAAACATTGTAAATCAACTATACTTCAATAAAATTAATTTTAAAAAATTTTTAAAAAGTAAGAAGGTAAAAGGAAGACATAATAAGTACAAGCTAAATTA